GGCGGGGCCCGCCTAAGAGCAACCCCCGCCTCCTCTTACATCACTGGCCAGCGACCTAAGAGCAGGCGGGGGACGGAAGAGGAGGCGGGGCCCGGCGACGGAAGAGGAGGCCTTTCTTCACCCTCTAAGTCTAGGAGAACCCTTTCTTCACCCTCTAGGGTTGATATTGTGTTGCCATGAGATATAATTGCTCCTCTAGCAGGTGGAGATTTAATTCTCATTAGTGTGATAGATCTGATACAAACGAAAAAATCCTGTCTAAGCTGTGGGCTATCTACGGAACGAGCCGGTAGACGGAGTTAAGGTGGCCATACACTCTACAACCATCGCAAGACCTTAGTCTTGCGATGGTTGTAAAGGAATAAAAAAAACGTACGATCTGCCTATCTTGGACAGGCAGATCGCACTCTCGATCATCGCAAGCCCGCCCTCCTGAGGGGCGGGCTTCCGATGACCGCAATGCTGAACGGGCAGTGTGCGCGTGCGCACACCGGCCCGTTCAGCATTTGTCTTCCGAGCACCGTTCTAACCAGCCGAGAATCGTACGATTCTCGGCTGGTTTTCGAACATGCTGGTTCGACAGAAGACGTGCGACCGTACAGTAGAAACGGTCGCACGTCTCCGTTCACACTGCTCGATTATCGTACGAAAACCCGATCGCATACGATTATCGTACGATAATCGTGCAGTGTATGGGCACCTTTAGAGAGTCATCTCTTTCATTGAGGAAAAATCATTCAAGCAGCTAATAGCCGTATCTCGGTTTTCTGTTTGATAGCAATATCTCGGCTTGCGGTTGGTATTCTGTGTTACAGTTGTAACCTATAGGTGAACCTAATGGGTCACTTCTAGTTTTTTTGTGTTGAAAGTAAAGCCGAGGAACAGTTCATAGATTATTTTAAAGACCTCTCTTCCAGATGGATACTCGTCACAGTTTCATATCATTTGAAAAAAAGGGTCCATTGGACATATACTCAGTAAAAAAAAAAAGGCAAAGGTTGAAAACTGTGTATAACTCACGGTCTTTCCGAGTCGATCATTGAAGGAGCCGGTTTTTGGATGCTGCAGCTGATTCCCGTTTGATCCTGTTTCACATAGGGATCTCTTATCCAGTGTAATTGTTTGGTCCAAGGGTTGTGCAGTAGGTACTAACCGGTTTTCCCCTTAGTTATAGTATCAGAAGCAAGAGGAGTTTAGCAGGTCATGGTGTGTCGGTTTAGGAGGACATGCCGGTGTAAGAAAATATCGGCATGGTCCTCGGTGATTAAGGGTCTTCCACACAGACACAAACGTCGACGCGTTTCACCCCTCCTACTGGGGCTTCGTCAGGACCATGCCGATATTTTCTTACACCGGCATGTCCTCCTAAACCGACGACACACAGCAGAACATTGCCCAAAGCATCACACTGCCTCCGCCGGCTTGTCTCCTTCCCATAGTGCATCCTGGTCCCATCTCTTCCCAAGGTAAGTGACACACACGCACCCGGCCACCCACATGATTCATCAGACCAGGCCACCTTCTTCCATGGTCCAGTTCTGATGCTCACATGCCCATTGTAGGCGCTTTTGGCAGTGGAAACGGGTCAGCATGGCTCCCCCAGCAGGGGACCTTAGCAGTCAATTTCCTTCCTGGGACCTTGCAGACAAGGTGGGTTTTGTCACCAGACTGGGAAAGGTGTCACCTCACCTGGTGTGTATTTTAATGTTCAGAATGATTAAAAAAGGTCATATGTCATAACTCCTCCCCATACATCAATGTCATAACTCCTCCCCCATACAGCATATGTCATAACTCCTCCCCCATACATCATAAGATCGTAGAACCTCCAGGGAAGGAACGGTGACACAAAGGTGAGCTGACTGATACCAGACACGAGGGTTCTATCATACAGTACGGAGGAGTTCTGATCATTGGGTCTCTTTATGGTATTTCTGGTTCTGTTAGCTGTAGAGTGCCGGAGTTTGGGCTTTGCGTATAGCAGAACAATAGCTGGAACCAGAACCATCACTTTCGGATCCATTGTTCATAACTGGAAAGAGTTATGAAGGTTAAAAGATTGTCAATAGAAGAATTATACCTGAAGACAAAAGGTGTTCATATTCAGTCTCCAGCCCCTTCCATCTGATTGGCTGATCTCAGGGGGTGGGGTTCATATTCAGTCTCCAGCCCCTTCCATCTGATTGGCTGATCTCAGGGGGGTGGGGTTCATATTCAGTCTCCAGCCCCTTCCATCTGATTGGCTGATCTCAGGGGGTGGGGTTCATATTCAGTCTCCAGCCCCTTCCATCTGATTGGCTGATCTCAGGGGG